AGGAGTGTTATAAACTAGTCTTTTCTACTCAGCTGTAAGCTCCATGAGGACAAAATGAAGGTATATTTTTCCCGCTATAACCTCAGGGCGTGGTCCGTACTATGTGCATCAATCGATACTTGTTAAATGAAGAGCATATGAATGAAGATTTCAGTCCTGGAAACTAACTTGTGGCTTGTGGGATTCCTGTGATCTGTGCTGTTGGCAAGGATTGCAGGCACGAGCCAGGCAGCTGAGTCCTGAGTCCACCCCTCCACTGTTCCACTTCCCTGAGCTAAAGCACCTGTTACACTGACTGCTGGTTGAAAATAAACTTAACGATGGTGGTATAAGGTTGACCCATACTTCACTTAGTGGCTGACTGAGCTCTCTTGCTTGTAACCTTGGACTGAGGAAACAAAATTTATGACTGTTTGCTTTTTTTTTTTTTGTCTTTTTGAGACAGGGTCTTGTTGAGCAGTTCAGGCTGACCTTGAGCTCACTTTGTAGCCCAGGCTGGTCTCGAACTCAGAACAATCCTCCTGCCTCAACCTCCCAAGTGCTGGGATTACAGGTGTGTGCCACCACGCCTGGCCTGCATTTTCTAAAGTTATAATAAATGTCATATGGGGCAGGGAGAGAATTGATGTAGAAATAAGTGATTGAACCCGTTACATATATATGTACATATATTACAGCTAGATGTAAATGTGTTACAACATATTATGTATGTGTATGTGCATGTATGTATACTTAAAAAAAATAGAAAGAATTCTACCATGAACTTAGTCATCTAAGTTCTTCTTCTACATCTAAGTCATCTTCTACATCTTTTTCCTTAAAACCCTGAAAAAGGAAAGTTATTTCATAGTGAGTCAAAGTTGGCATAATATACTTTGAACTACTTTCAAATATTGATTTGAACATTCTGTAGTCAGGACACAGATTGTACTTTGATTCTGGTAAGCCATGTGCTTATTCTCAGCATACCAAGGAGAAAATGAAAAAGCTGCATTTGAATTATAGATACCGCACTTAAGAGTTTGCATTTGACAGTTAAATCAATCAAGGTACATTTTGCTGCATTTCTTCATAAACACTGGGTTTACATTTTGAATAACTGAAAAGTCTACAAAATCTTAAAAGTAAATGCAATAAATTAAAATGCCCTATCAATCTTTAGCTTTCTTCTATTATAAGGTCAAGTACATAATGACAAAAATTCTATGTATTACGGTATGTGGTACAGACTATGTATTACAGAAATAACTAATATGAAAATTGTATGCTATCTACAAAAGGAACAGAATCTTGTTTTGTCTTGGCTTAGATAAACCATATATGTAGCTTAGGAACTCTGCAAATCAAAACTCCCCAAGTGAGTCAAAGATGAAATGTTGTCCATTAAAGAAATGCTTAACAGCAAATATTCCTTCTACTTAAAAATCCTTGTTTTTTATTGTTGATCTGAATGAAATGATGTCTTCCTCATTCATAAATAGTAAAGCTACCTTTTTAATACAATGGGCTTTAGAACTACTAACTGCAAATGTACAGTCACTTTCAGAAATATCAATCACATTCATTTCAATGTTGTGGATAAAAAGCTTTTATGCCTAATAGGCTTATCTAGTAAACAAGTTATTACAACACTATTTTACTGCCAACACTTTTCAGTTCCCACCCATAAATGATATACAGTATTTATAGTTCCAAGCTCTTGAAAAAGACCAGATCTTCATAAAGACTGAGTTTATAGAGTAGCTCCACCTTATTCATAGTTTCAGTTTCTGCAGTTTCAGTTATTCTTGGTCAACTGTCAACTGAAAATAAATGGAAATTCTAGCACTAGACAATTCATACATTTTAGGTTGCAGGCCATTCTGAGTAGCACGAAGAAATCACATGCTGCTGTACTCTGTTTAATCCAGAAAGTGAATCATCCCTTTGTCCAGGGTATATACACTACGGTGCTGTAGAAAAACTGTAGCGTATATTTGGTTCAACACTGTCTGCCATTTTAGGAACCCAGTGAGGTCTTGAAACATATCCCCCACAGATGAAGGGGGATTACTGTATATCTTTGTCATACTAAATAACTTAATTATTTGGAGTCTTTCTACAGCTGAAAACCCAGGGGGGGAGGCTGCAGTTGTTCTGATTAAGTTAGTATGTTCCTGCAAAAGCTTAACCAAAATAGACATGTTACAACATGACTATGATTAGGATAAGATACTTCATCTTCCTGTTTTTAGAGTTTTATATTTTAATACTGCCTTTAAGTAAGCCATATATGATAAAATATCAGACTGTGCTTTTATATCACACTTAGGGCCTCCAAAATAAGGGAGAAATTTTTGTAACTCCTCTGAACAGGCTCTCCCTGCTTCCTAACCTTGTGGAGTTACTGGGATGCAAAGCACCCAACGGGAGGTAAGCCATGGTGACCCATCAAGCCTAACGTTTCACTTTTTATTATATTAAGCAAGTCTTTGCAGAAAGTATACAAGGCTGGTTTTTTAAAAAAATAGAATAAATGAAGTTACCAGATCACTGTAAAAATATGAAAAAAAATTGGATAGACCTCATTTTTTATTTTTTCAGTTATAATTCATTTGCTGAATTACAATAAAATCGTAGAGCTGAGTGTGGTGGTGCGCACCTATAATCCCAGCACTCAGGAGGCTGAGATAGGAGCATTGCTGTGAATCTGAGGCTAGCCTGGGCTATATAATGAGTTCAAGGCCAGCCTGAACTACATGGTGAGACCCTGTCTCAAAAAACAAACCCACAACAGCAACACAAATATATATATACACATATATAATATATATCTTGGTTGTCGAAGACAAGAGGGAAGTTTGTTAAACCACTGTACATCCACCCCAGGGTTCTGGGATGCAGATTTTGTGAAAGGTCTTGACTGTCATCCTTGACATTAATTTCAAATTATCAGGAACATTCCTCAAAGAATCTGCCTGTGCTTTTATGGCACTGCTTTTATAACATATATCCCATATATCCCTAGGATTTACACTTATTCTAACTCCTCAAGAATTGCCTCAGTGGGCAGCTTTTTACATTTGTATTCCACCATGGACGAGCATGGTAGTTAATAGGTACTCACTGAATTCCAATTTCATTCAATAGAGGATTTATTAGCACTTAGATCCTGAACACTGAGCTAAATAAACACTGTTAGAGAAAATGAGTCACAGTGCCTGTCCTCCAGGAACTTATTGTACTGTTGGTATGATAACTAGAGACCAAGGAGTAAACTGTGGCTAATTAAATCTAGTAATTTGAATATTCATTCACATTTATCTTGATTTCCCCAGAAGCTTTGTTAAAATGACAGTAAAGAGGTAGAAAAGTCCTAAAGCCACAAGTGCAAGGAAAACTTGAAAGAAGATTATTATTAAAGAGATTTCAACTAAATTTTGGAGATGGGTAGCTGCCTAAATGGCCTAGAGAATACTAAGACCTACAAGCAGGGCAGAAAGCTAAGAAGTACAACTACTCTCTGTATAAAACACTAGAAAACCTCAGAATTCACAGACATCAGGAAGTAGGGTACAAGTTAGAGCTGAACAATGGGAAGGCAGGGGCCTGGGAGTTAGCTCAGTGTGCAGCACCTGCCTGGCAAGCATGAGGTCCTGAGTTTGATTCCCAGTACCCCAAAAAAGAGGGAAACTTTAGTGGAAAGCTTATAGAGAGAGCTATTAAAATTCAATTCCCCCCAACAAAAAGTGTCAGAAGACTGCTTCACAGCAAGATAGGAGAAATCCAGCCCTGCTAAGGACGTCAGCATTCACCATCCTTTTTGGGGGCAATGACTTTTTGGCTATGATGGCAAAATCACAGGCAACAAAAGCAAAAATAGACAAATGAGATTACTTTAAACTAAAAAGCTTCTGCACAGCAAAGGAAACATCTATGCAGCAAAGGAAACCAGAGTGAAGAGACAATCTAAAGAATGGGAGAAAATATCTGCAACCTGTATCTCTGATAAGGGATTAATAACCAATTAAGAAACTTAGCACAAGAAAACAAATCACCCAATTTTAAAATGGATAAAGGACCTGATAAGACATTCTTAAAAGACTTGCAAATGGCCAATAGATATAAGGAAAAAAAAAACAGCCAACATCACCAACCATAAAGGGAATGCAAATCAAAGCCACAATGAAGTATCACCTCACACCTTTTAGAATGGCTGTCATCAAAAAGACAAAAGATAACAAGTGAGCATGTGGAGAAAAAGAACGCTCATACACTGCTGCTAAGAATGTAAATTATGGAAAACATTATGGAAGTTCCTCAAAAAATAGGAAAATAGAACAACCATGCAACTCTGCAATCCCAGTACTGAGTATCCATCCAAAGAAAACAGAAGAAATATCTGTACTTCCATGTTTACTGCAGCACAATTCATAACAGCCAAAATATGGAAACAAACTAAATGTTCATCAGTGAATGCAAAGACTCTGGGTTTGATCCCCAGCATTAGGGAAAAAAAAAGATCAATGGATAAAGACCATGTGGTGCATACACAATGGATATGACACTGCCTTGAAAATGAAGGAAGTCTCATCATTTGTGCAAGATGGATGAATCTGGAAGACATTATTTTAAAGTGAAATAAGTTAGGCAGTGGTAGACAAAAACCATATGATCTCATTCACGTAGAATCTTTTTAAAAATGTTGATTTCATAGAAGCACAGAGTAGAATTATGGTTACCAGGGGTTGGAGTGATGGTGGTATGTGTGTGTGTGTGTGGGGGGGGGTATTAGCCAAAGTTTACAAATATCTTTTAAATAGGAACAATATAGTCAAGAGATCTATTATACAATATGGTGATTATAGTTAACAATATATTGCATTCTTGAAAAAAGGCTAAGAGAGTGAATATAAAGTATTCTTCTTGCAAAAATAACCACTATGCGAGGTAATCTATACATTACTTGGCTTGATTTAGTCATTCCACAATATACGCATACTTCAAAATACAATGCTGTATGTGATAAAGACAATTTTATTTGTCAATTTAAAACAATGGAAATTTAAACTTGAAAAATGATACTTAGATCTTCCATGATGAAATGAGTAGGTCCTGCCCAAGTACACCGTAGGAAAAATCTTCCAATCTCTAAACATTAATAACATGCACAAATGTTCAGTTTCTCATTTAAATATGTTAGAACACCAAGGTCTACCGTATATTTGAGGAAATTCTCTAACATGAGTGGCAGATTCCAAAAAAAACTAAACATGAAAAAAAAACCAAAAAACCCACATTACCCTTAGACTGATAAGAAAGGATTGCTGGGCATGATGATTCATGCCTGTAATCCCAGCAATCTAGGAGGCTGAGACAAGAGGACTGGAAGTTCAAGCCCAGACTGGGCAATTTAGCAAGACTGTGTCTCAAAAGAGAAAATACAAAAGGGTTAGGAATGTCACTCAGTGCACAGGACCTGGGTTTAATCCCCAGTACTAAAAAAGGAAGGTATTTTTCATGAAATAAAATCATCTCATTAAAAACATCCAGAGAATTAAAATTCATAGAATTTTACATGCACAAACACACACATACGTGCCCAGGTGAAATTAGCACACCCAATAAATTTTGTTCTCTGAATATCTATAGCTATATCTTATATTTCTACTGTATCTTTATCTGCAATAGAAGAGGGAAGAATAAGGTTAAATCTCCCAGAAAGGAGAACAAAATACAAGGATGAAAAATAGGAAAGAAGAGAGAAGTACAGAGAAAGAAGATACTAAAAGCTCTTGGAAGAAAATGGTAAATCATATACAAAACAAATCACATATCTGGACACAAAAATAGGAGCTAGAAGAGTAGTTTTATGCTCTGGTGGATATTTGAAATAAATCATTAAACAGCAGGGGTAAAAAATGAGGCAATTTTTAAACTTCTGAACAAAAAAACCAAAAAGTTGCACAAGATAGGCAATGCAGTCACAGTGCACTATATGGCTAAGCTGCAAATAATAATTAGTCTTAGAGCATAAACATTGCATATTAATTTCACTAAAAATGGTGATAGAAGTACACAGAGAAGATAAAGTGTGTGTGTTGATTCAAAAGGAGGGCAATGAAAAGGAGATATAACTCCATTTAATAATAAATGATCAATAAATTAAGAAGCAGCAGTAGAAAAATATTATTTATAAACATGGAGATAAAGAGCAGGAGAACTACCAAAAGTTAAAGGGGTTGCCCTAGAAGAAAGAAATGAAAATTAGAGTGGATGGAGCAAGGACTTCTATTTTCATTATTGTAACGTCATTTTATTTTTTAAGGTATAAATATATGATGTTTTGATAAAATATTTTTAAAATATGTTCTAAAGAATTACACTATGGTACTAAACAGAGCATAAGGGTTTTCTGCCTGACTTATCCAATAATTCCACACTGAAAGGCCACCTGTGGAAAATGGACTTGAGGAACGATACAAGTGAGATGGGCATAAGTGAGAGACCTACATGGTGAGATCAACATAACTTTAAAATGAACAAATGATAAGAAGGACAGTGAAAAGGCCAGTTTCCAGGATTGAGAATGCAGTGGGAAAACTATTCTTGTCTAAGGAAAGTCGGTGATTGAAGGCTTTGTATCCAACCTAAAGGAATCTGAACCTCTTTGAGTAGGGGAGTTGTAGATTCTTGAGCAATGAAATAATGTAATAAAAGCAATAAATTAATCTGAAAATTGCATGCAAATTGGGGATGTAGTGAGAATCATTTAGGCTTTCTACCACAGTATCTCCAGCCCCTATGTAAGGACCTGGCCCACAGTACCAATTCACCTGTAATTACTGAATGGTCAAAGGAAAAGAGATGGAGGGCTGTTAGGAATCCAGGCATGAAGTAGTGAAGCCTCAGCTAGGACGGGGAACTGGAAAGGAACAGGGCTGTCTTATATATATTTGAAAAAGACAATGCTACCATTTCCTATTCTAAAAGCTCTTTAAAAAAAAACTTGCTTTACATGAAATATAAAACAAATTTTCTTACAGTAGTAATGCTCTAAACAGTGATTGTTATTAGACTCCATCCAACTTTTAAATTTATAACTTATCTAAAATATAGTATAATCTAAGTATTTTTATTATACATGAGGATCATTTGACAGGATTAATTCCAGAAAATAAATATTCAGTTCCAAGTTGTACATCACAATTTTAGTTACTGTATTGCTATGTAACAAATTATTTAAAGCTAAGCTGCTTAAAACAATAAGCATTTTATTACAGTTCATGATTTTTGAGGCCAGGAATCTGGGTAGGCCTCAGCTGGGTGATTCTTCTACTTCAGGAGTGTCAATCGAGATTTCACACTGGTACGCAGCTGGTGGATGTAACGGATGGCGCAGAAGGCTTTCCTCACAAGATTGTCCCTAGGCAGGGATGGCAAGGACAACTGGCTGGAGTGCCCTCACAAGACACTTGCAGCACGGTGTTCTCAGGGCAGCTGATCTTCTTATATGTAGTTAGTGTTCCCAGAAAGAATATTTAAAGAGACCAAGCTGGAAACTGCAAGGCTTCTCAGATAGCACGTACAGTGCCATACTTCTTTGTTTAGAGACTGCACAAAAGTGTGAATATCAGGAGGCATGGTTCATGAGAGGACCATCACTAGAGACCAATTTCTACAGTGGAGATATCATGTCTAGGGAGATTTAAATTGTATAGGTAAAAGTACCACTCACTTTTCATAAGTAAAAGTTATACTAACGAATCTCAAACTATACTCACATAAGCCTACTCCTTCACTAAACAGCAGTCTTCTCTATATTTGGAAGAAAAACATTAACCAGTTTGTAACCAGTTTTTAAATCATTCTTTTTGTTTCCCCTGGTAATATTTCTTAAATCATTATTGCCTGATACATCATTCCTGGACTCATGTGACAGGATAATTCTGAGAAACATTTTGTTTTTCACATTGCATTTTTCTCCTCTCTGATTCTGTGTTGTGAGGATCTTGGTGCTTCCCTGCCTGGGAGAAGTATAAGTGGTGAGTCTGAAAGCACAAGGCTCTTACAAAATGCTTCTTTTCCTGGCTTTTGCTTTCATGGAGCCTGAGTTTCCAGAATGTGTTGTGGAGGAGAAAGGAAGACACAAAAGTTGACAGGCAACAGGTTTTTTTTTGCATGTTAAAAGTTCCCAGAGTTTCACTGTGTGGCCCTTCTATCCACTTCCTTTCTCTCCCCACCCATGCAGCCACCTGTGCCACTTTTTTGGAACTTTTTTTCTTTTCTAAAGTACAATTTGGAAATCATTGCTCTAGACTGACTAATCATTCCTTAGATCTTCTGAGCTGGGGAAAAAAGGGGAATAGTGGAGTGGAGGTTGAACTTCAGCTACAAATTTCCATGTTTCTCTTTTGTATGAATAGGGGATAAACAAAATTGTAGTCACCTTTTGTAGTAACTTTCTTAGTTTGGAAGAGAAGAATGCTGACACTGTACTGATAATCAAAATTAGAGAGCTGAGCAGCTGGAATTAAATGTTGGCAGGAGGAAGAGGATAATTAATTCCATTTCTAGAATGGTAAATTTCAGGTTATAGTATAGCAATCCTAAATAAAGTGGCATATATGCATATGGAGAGATGGTAATGTCACACAGATAAAAAGGTCAGGTTTGCAGATGAGAGCTCAGCAATTGTTGAAGAAAGGATTGTTCAGATTATAAAGAAGAGGGCTAAAGATAGATAAATGTCTTTGTGACATTGTGCTGTAAAGGTTGAAAACTGGTGTACCTGCCACATCCAGCCCACCAGTCATATTTTACTAAGGTCATATTATGTCTAAATTATTATTAAATTAATGACCAATTTGATTTGAGTCTTAAAACTAGGGATTGAAATGAACTCTGAATTGTGCTTTTTCTGGAAAACAGGAAGAGTTTCAATGTTGGGGCCCACACCCTTCTGCAGAGGGAGCTGAGTAGACAATGCTACCTTCACATGGGATTGTTGTCAGTAAGATAGTATCTTATAGACAACTTCATCCTCTTGACAGCAGCAAACATGAAATCAGATTCTCTTCTTGGTCAGATTCTATCCAGGTTTCTCTGAGGTCTGTCTCAGCTAGGCCTCATCATAAGTCTATAAAGACTGGGAAAAAAAAATACTAACATCGTTTCTAACAGCTGAATGATACATTCCTAAGACGACCATAACTCCCTTACAAGTATTTTCCTCAGAAGACTAAGACTACAAAAATTATACATATTATTTGTAGCAGGAAACACTGGAGGATAGGGCCACTGTCTCCTGGCCTCCTTGAGAGGGAAGGAGGCTTTACTTTTGTAAGTACCAGTTAACAAGCTCAGAGGATTCTCCAGACACCTCCTCCCCGCCCCTCCCCCCACACTCTTCCTGCTTTTTTAAATTTTTCACTTCCCTGACTCTACCAGGCCTCAGGTAATCTTCCTCTGCACTCCCTCATTTTTCCTTTAAAATACCCAATTAACTCTGTACAAATGAGAGTTCAGGTCACTCAGACTCTTTCCTACTACAATAGCATATTATTGATTAAAATATGAATTTACAGCCAGAACTGGTGACACTTACCTGTAATGCTAGCACTCTGTAAGTCTGAGGCAGAAGGATTACAAATTCAACCCCTGCCTGTGCATCTAACAACATACACAGAACCTGTCTTAAAAAAGGACTAAAGATGTAGCTCAATGCCAAAGCCTTAGGCTACTCCCCAGTACCACCCCCCATCCCTACCAAAATTCGAGCTTACCACTTTAAACTAGGGTTGGCTTTATTCTTGAGAGGACTAGTGATCAACAGAAGTCAGTTAAGGTGTCAGGGTTAGTTGTTTCCTTCCTTCAGGAAAGCTGACCAAAAAAAAAAGAAATCAATGCTATAAAATGATGAACATCGGTAGAATCTGGAGTTGGAAAGACTTAAGGATATAAACGAAAATTTTGTTTTGGGGAAGGAGAGAGTTGTTTCTTTCTGAAATTATACAGAAGAATGACAGGATATAGATGTGATAAACAAATTAGATGAAGAATAATAGGACTGAAGGAGTGAGGAAGAAAAAGAATTTACCCCTTAGTCATCAGACTGGACTAACAGATAAAGCCAGCTACAAATGAACAGAAAAAAATACTTCTCTCAAGAACATGCTACATCTACAAAGTGTCACAACCTCTTCTGAATGACTCCTGATTTCTTATTGAAATATTTTGTTCTCTAATATCATAGATTATCAGAAATTGCTATGTCAAATTATATTAGTAAGGATTAAACGTTCCACTCTTGTCTGTAGGACATAGAGAAGCCTGGATTTCCAAGGCAGCTAGATAGCTTCAGAAAGGGGTTTCCGAAAACATTTTGCAGGTGTATTAACTACTTTCTAATATTCAAGAAAATTTTACGTTGATGCCTTTATTCATAGTTCTGCTTTGCTTGGAGCCTCTCAAAGCACTGCTTCATTTAGATTTTACCTGAACTCCTTTCCCCGGGTCCTGTGATAACTTCCTCTTCTTTGAGATGCTTTACGGTTCCTCTGATGTGAGCACTTCTGCATCGCAGTGGATCAATCAACGTGAACCTATATAGCCATGGATTCATTTCTGGAGGGGTCTGGGTGCTTGAGTGAGCACAGGGGTCACGGGACGTTTTCACAGTCCAATTATTCATTTTTCAAACAAAACCTGGGGATCAGAGGGTTTCTAATTGTTATTGCAGTTCTTCGATGCACTTCAGTGCTATTTCCATGCAAAGACCCTTTCTGGTATCCATCTCTGAAAGCAGAATGCAAAGTTCACTATGCAGTGGCTTTCTTACACACAAAATCCACTTATTTAAACCTCTCGAGAGCTTTTTGCGGTACAGGTCAGTCAGTCCTGGGGTGTCGAGGTTGGTGAGTTCCGAGTTTACCGTCGGGGCCTGGGACCCCCGATTCCCTCAACATTCGGGGGGCGCTGGGGGCGCTGAGGGCGCAGGTTTCTGCCGCCGCCGCCCCTCTATGCGACGCCAAGACGGCGACCGCGACTGGGGTGAAAGGCACAAGGGTTCTCCACCCCTCCCCGGTTTCACATTTCTTCTGCAACCTTCACTCTTTATGCGAAACTTCCTCTTTCTTACTCCAGTCCCCGCGGCCCATTCCCCCAGGAAGGAGCGCCCGCTCGGACCAGAGCCGCGCCCCACCCTCCATTCAAATCCCTTTTCCTGCCCCCCCAAATGAAAGCAAACCCTTCCTTATAGGAATCTGGTATTGGAATTAAACAAATTGTAACTTTAGACTCTTTCTCCCCGAAAGAAAGTTGAGCGAGTCCAGGCAATGCTGCGGCGGCTCGGGAAGAGTATTCCTAAAACACCTCAGACGAGGAACTTGAGGAAGATTGCAGCTCGCGAGCCGCGGCGCAGCGGGTGGCGTGGCTTCGGCGGCGCGGCGCGGCGCGGGTGCGGATTGGTCGCCTGGTGGCCCGCGCTCCGCGCGCCTGCGCACTCCGCCTCCCGCGCCGCCCAGCCCGCCGCCCAGTGCCGGTCTGCGGCCTCCGGAGGCGTCGGGCGTTATCCGGCACGGAAGCCGGCGAGCTCAGCTCGGCGGGCGGTCGGGCCGGCCCGGCCTACAGCTCAACAGAGGGGAGCCGGGGGCCGCTCACAGGCCCCCCGCAATCTTCCCGATCCCCGCAACCTGCCCAGGCCGGCCGGGAGAAGCTGAGGCGCCCCGACGCCCTGCCCAGTGCCGCCGCCGCCGCCATGATGGAGCGGAAGTGAGGCGCGGGGCGAGGGCTGCC